CACTTCTACTCATTCGTTTATGATCCTAATTAGCTTAAGTTTAGTATTGATCCTATTGTGTTTCTCATGTTCAATTTCCGACACCATACGCGTTTAAACAGAAATGATTGGAAAATGTCTTTGCGGAACGTGCATGTCAACTGAACAAAATAAAACGTCCTAATATAATAATAGTAATTAATAATAGTAATAATAATAATAATAATTATGCTCCCCAGATTACAGTATACCAATCTTCCAATAATAACAATGAAAAATAGACAGACAATCAAGTGCAATCAATCACCGCCTGGAAAATCACGTAAACTTCTGACATCTCGTTGCCACGTTCACCACAACCAACATAGACACTATACCGAATTTGGAATAATTTGAATAACGATTGCAAAATCACTGTTTTACCACAACCAAATGCTACCAGGAATTGCAGAGTCCCACCTTGTACCATCCTATAAATTTACAAAAGGAGTTCTCATTTCACTATCCATTGTTTGATATGAAGTATAGAATGAATGAAAATGAATGTGAAAAATGACATGTATAGACGACTTGAACGGAATGTATTATACGTTTAAATCGATAAACAACAGATCTCCTTGCAAATTCTCTTCAATATATTATTATCTGTCCATTTAAATTGGGTCATTAATGCTAAAGTATGGCCTTACAAAATGACTTCAACATAAATCGGTCAACACGCTTTGAAATATTCGGATTTTGAGGCGGTATTGTTTTTCAAACTGGTAATGAGGTGAATTTAATGTCCAGAATTTATTTTAACATTTTTTCAACTCAATTTATGGTTTTTTTTTTCTATGACGGGACAGGTTTTTTGGCGTCAAAGGTTATTTTAAAAATTATTACTAATTTTAGTTTTGTTGTATCGTGGTGTGTGTACTACTTACAAGGTAGTTGATAAGTAGTATGGAGTGAAGTGTCAGACTGAAGTTGTAATGAACGAAGACAGTAAGACCGGATGGGTTAAGTGATTTGTTTGTAAAAGACGCGGTTCATTAGTCAAAATGTGTACGCATTATCTTTAAACAACCATTTGCAAAACAAGAGGAATATCAGCTTGTCTTCTCTCACGTCTTCCAGTCTTCAAAACACTTTGATTGCGCCATGCATCTGGATATGAAACTCTTCTCTTCAGTAGTAACTTCAGCGTGAAACACCATTGCATACTACTTATAAGCCAGGTTGTAATTAGTATACACCACATTCACCCTCCGTCTAAACTATCAAGCGTCTAAACGCCAACCTTCGTAGTTCTGTCGACCAGCTGGGGAAACAAACTCTGCTACGAGCCGAGCAACTAGATTACTATGTATAGGTATTCGTACTGTCATAAGCTTTCGCGTTACCCTTTAAACTTCTATAATACGATTAACTATTCCAATTTTTCACCCGTCTATTATTTACAGTCACCTCCATTCACAGGCACTTTTGGCTTGTTTATGTATAATTGTTTATGATTTGATGTGGTTTAGCATGTTTGTATACAAACTACGTCTGCTTAAAGTATAAAAATAGCAGAAGTCGGTTGCTGACTTTTGAACTCAAGGGAGGGTAGAGAGAGAGATTTTAGCGAATAATAGTGTTGGCCAGTTTTATATGATTGGTCAATTTGCGGACACTATGCTATCGAGGGAATAGTGGATGCCAACAGATCAAATTAGAATTAGGATTTCAATTGGCGGCTAGACACGTAACATTCCTTCACAGTTTCAAAACGTATGTGACACGCATGAGAACTAGAATCGATGTATACCTGTGTTAGATAATAATAATAATATGCCATTATTGATGAAGTTAGAAGGACTGAAGATAAGGGACTATCTACTCAAAATTAAAATTGAACAGTACAAAGTGCATGGATATATTGTTTACTTACTCAATATCGCCGGACTTTAACATAAAATTAATCTTATTAAAAAAAGTGCAACCATATAGTCAGATACTTTAGAATGATGAACTCAAGTCACAGGCCTAGCAAAACACTAACAAAACTGATTACAAAATCATGTAACTCATTTGTTCAGCTAGTTAAGATTACAGCTAAGTCAAGTAATTTTTCATATAATTTTTATCGGTAGTGTTTTTTCTTAAAGTGAACAATTTATTGATTGGTCAAAAAACGCAATATTTTATCAGTAAACATACAATAATAAATTATGATACTTCCATCTTGAATATCATGTTTTATGTAGAGAACAAAGTTCCAATGAATAAATTGATCATTTAACTTAAAAATGAGTGATTACAGTTGTAATGTAATCCTGGGACACCCGAGTGAGCAACGCTGTTATTAGGAATCGGGTGCTAGGTAAGAATGGCAGATCAATAGATGAAGTAATGAAACTTCATCAGTTGAGGTGGTTAAGACATGTGTTACGTATGCCTAACCACCAACTGCCTCGACGAGCTTTGTTTTGTAGTGTAGGAGTAGGTTGGAAGAAAGTTAGGGGCGGCCAAATCAAAACATGGTAGAAATCCATGAAGTCATTGACGAGTGGACTTAGCCATGTCGGTAAGTTGTCGACTACCACCTGATTGGCATCCGCGAGATGATAATAATCGATAGTTAGAGACCATGAATGACATGGCTCAAAATCGTTCGCCATGGCGCCGATGCATTTATTCTCTATGTTCTCTCAATTCCTAATCTTCTGGGTTCTTCAACACGTCTAGTTTTGACTTTCCAAACTTTTCTCATTTAATCATACTTCTTGAATAATATCTTCTAATTCCAACCTCTCCGATTACTTCTAATACCTTTACTACCTCTTCTACTATTGGATTTGAATTGACAATTATATCTGTGTGCTGATGTGGTGTGGCAACATGAACTGATGTACTTACGTACAAAGTTCTGCGTTGCATCTGACTGACTGACTGTTGTAATGTAGTCAACTGTGTAGCAAGCAATATCAATAACCAAATACACATTTAAAAATTAGACTAGGAAACATATAGATTTAGTCTGAAGTTTAATCATACACTACTGACTAGATTAAATGTGATTCAATTCAATGAGAGCAGTGTTTGGTTTGATAATCAACTATGGAGTGATTTTGTGAATTTAGTTTAGTGAAATGTAGAACTTCGTACGTAAGTACATCAGTTCAAGTGGCCATTAGCACATTAGCACAGAGACAAAATCAATGATGTCTATAACTTCTAGTCAGTCGTACATAGCTCAGTTAATTATTCTGAATGAAGTGTATAAATATCTCTTTGATTAGGTACTCTATAATATGCTTTAGTGTCACATGCATCTCGGTAGACAGCGGTGTTACATTTGAACGTTATTCCGAAAAATATGTAGCCATAATTATTTTTAAAGCAGACAACTATCAATCATACACTTGAAAATCCAACTTATTTTATATTTTAAACATTGAAATCACCAATCAATGATTGTTAGACAATCATTAAAAACCTTGAAGCACTGGAAGCCCGTCAAGTCCTGGTATGGGATTCACCGGCAGTGAGCATCCACAACTCCTGCTGTTCGCAGGACTTGAAACTCAGGACCTTCAGTCTTGAGCGCGAGAGCTTAACCTCTAGACCATTGAACCAGCATCCAACGGTGTTAATGTCCAACTTTAATTAATCCCTGATATTATGAGACCTCACCCATTGTTTTCGATAGTTACTGCCTACACCTGAAAGGGTTGAACTCCACTGGTCTCAGTAGACCTCCAAGAATTCTCTCACGAAGCTAGTCCTTGGTGAGCACAAATTTTTGATTTTGCGTTATAGTGCTATGGAGAGCATTGTTTTTACACATTGAAATCATGAATTTCATTTCATCAGTAAACACACACTTCATTAAACACGAAATGATATTATTTTTTTTTATTACTTACGGGAATAAAGCATCCAATATTCGTTGACCAGTTAGAAGTGGATGATTACCAGGTAGTTTTTCAGCTACTGGACGAGGTTGACGTACTGGCCATACTTGTAGCATAGTATGCTGACTGATTTGTCCATCGAATTCGATTTCTAATATTTTATCCTAATGCACAAATATGTACGTATGTATGTATGTATGTATATATAAAATGATCAAATCAACACTTGTGAATAAAAATGCGGAAAAATAAACAAACAAATGTTGAATAGCTAAAAAGATTCGTTGGTTACTAGTATTCGATTATATATGTCTTAGAAGCATTGCTCGTGTATCTTGGGACAACCGAGTGAGCAATGACGCCATTAGGAAACGAGTTCTAGGTAAGGATGGCAGATCAATAGATGAAGTGCTGAAACTTCATCAGTTGAGATGGTTGGGACATGTGTTGCGTATGCCCGACCACCGACTGCCTCAACAAGCTATGTTTTGTGGTGTAGGAGTAGGTTGAAAGAAAGTTAGGGACGGCAAGACCAAAACATGGTAGAAATCCATGAAGTCACTGACAAGTGAAATGAGTCATGTTGGTAGATGTAGGCTAACTGGTTGGGGTCCGCGAGAGGTAAGTCACCGATGGTTAGAGACCTTGAACGATATAGCTCAAAATCGTTTGCGATGGAGCAGGCGCATCCAGTTTTTGTGTTCTCTCAAATCCTAATCTACTGGATTCGTCAACACCTCTACCTTCATCTTTCTAAACTTATCTAACTTAATCATACTTCTTGAATATTATCTTCAAATCCTAATCTACTCCATTAGCAGTAATTCTTCTACAATCTCTACCAGCAAGGGATTTAAATTGATAATTTCGTCCTTGTGCTAATGTGGTATGGCAACCTGAACTGATGTATTTACGTACGAAGTTCTACGTTGCAACTGACTGACTGACTGAATAGTAGAAGATAGTCAGTTTCGTTTATAAATTCGAGGGTTTTGAGTTTTAGAAGGATAAAAAGACGAGAGAGTACTAGAACTGTCTGCATACGGATCAACTATGTAGGGCTATGCAGATGAACAACGACCAATAACCGAACTTGCACTACCTTGTAGGTGATCTGTGACTTTGAGCCACTAATATTCACGAAAATTAATCATATGCGCTACTATTGATAATCATGTCATGAGAAATGTGTAGCTGTTCACATCGTTGTCAGATATGATCTTTACTGAGATTTATATTATAAGGAGCAAATATAATATGAATTGTAAGGGTGTTGCGGTCGATCCACTCACGAAACACATCATTTTATGTGGTTACAAATGACCAGTACAAGATAAGTGTCATATATATATATATATATATATATATATATATATATATATATATATATATGATTGGACACCTGAATACTGCTGGATTGGATTTGGAATGGATAAACCTATAAAACATTTCATACTTTGAAATTGATTTCTGGCAAGATGATTTGTTTGTTTTTAACAAAAGGCAGATTATTAGTAGGGATGGATAGTGGTTCGCAGTGGAATCCAAGCAACTCGTTTCATCCAATTCAGAGGCTGGTCAACTGCAGTCCTTAACACCAATGGGCAGATTTAAACCACCAATTTAAATGAAACGATAGATTACTTAACCAAAATAAATTTAAAACTTACCGATAATGTATAGTGTCCAGCTGGAGCGATCCATCTAACTGTACCTTGTGCTTTAGGTGAAAGCATAATTCGATGTTGAACTAATGTATTTTCTGGTACAACACCATAAATATCACCACCAGTTATATGCATCCCAGGCTTTAAACCTGGTGTAGGAATAAATTCCCATTCAACTTTTCGATCTAACGCAGGAACATTTACACCCCTTGGTATATAGATTGAACTGGTTAAATCACAAATGCCTTTTAAAGGGCGTTGAATACCTACAATACATGAAATCGATCGATAAGTCAACTATATCCGTTTAAAAGTGAAACGACAACAAACAAACAGTACATAACTTCAACATGGAAGATTTGTCAAAAATGTCATAAACGAAATATCTTTGTATGAGATATGAATGTGATTTTAGTAATATTAGAAAAAAGAAACACATTTCACAAATATCTTATGATAAAGATGTATAATATCGCATTTGTTTTTTACAAACGGTTTAACACTAACCTTAATTTGCATAATGCAGTAATAACACTAGTGTGAGAAGATATATATCTTGAGTAATCTAGTTACATTACATTGAATGTGTACAGCGAAAAACGGTTAAAAATACATCATGAATGAGCATAACCTCTAATTTTTCTAGAAATATCGTCTAAACCTTAGTATGATTACGTAACCAAAGTGACTGAACAACTTTATATACAAATAAGGCTTTAATAAACTCATATTTTAGTCATCAAAGATGTAATTCATCAACCTAACCATTCAGACAAGAACTTTATTCAGTAATATAAACTGACCAATATCGTAGAAATCACATAGCAAGCGAACAATTAATGACTAAGTGTATGAAGTTTATCTTGAATTCTGAGATTTATGAAACTATACTCACACTTGTAATGTAAATGTCAAACAGTTTTGTAATACTTAGCATATGGTAAATACAATGTCACTAAGTACAACTGGACTAAGCCTTTTGAGTAGGTAGGTGTAGACTATCAGGTTGGACTCAGCCAGACAATAGTAACTGATGGTGAATTTGAATAACATGGCTCAAAATCATTCGAAATGGCGCAGATCCATCCATTCTTTGACTTCCTCCAAAATCTAATCTTCTGAACTGCTCCTGACTTTTTTTCTCTTCACTAGATCATACTGCTCCAATCAGAACTTCGAACCCTAATCTTCTCCATTATAACTAATACTTCTACTACCTCTACTACTATGGGCTTTGGATTGAGTATGTGGTATGGCAACCTGAACTGATGTACGTGAGTACCAAATTCTACGTTGTAACTAACTGACTGACTGACTGACTCACTGAATGTCACTAAGCCATCTTGTTTACAACTAGTTTTTAGAATTAAATGTAGAAGCCAAAAACTATAATAGCCATTAATTGTGCTACATATCAAAACTTTGAGCAAACTGAAGAAAACTTGCAAATAAATAAACATGACAGCAAAAATGAAAACATACCGTCAAAAATATTGTTAACTATGCCAGGTCCCAGTTCTACTGATAAAGGTTTACCAGTTCTAAGAACAGGATCACCGACAGTTACACCAGCTATAACACGATGAATTATTAAGTGAAGGAGGATAACAAATGAATCATTTAATACAATTTACTAACAAGAGCAACCTAAAAATAATATACACTATGTGTAGTGAAATTCCGAAATATGCTTTATCAAACATTGGATTTTTTAAAAAATTTTAACGAATCTAGTCGAGTGTTATTTAAAGATAGTAAAAAGACTAAAAAATAGGAGAATAACCACACACAAATGAACTAAAAGTCAAATGTTTTTATTCAGTGATTCAACAAGATAAAATCCATCAAATTCTTAGTCATAATAACGCTTGAAAGTAACCTGATAGTTTCTTTAGAGTATACAAGTAAGAAATAGAATAAATGTTTGTTCCTTATCTGGTTGTGCATTTTTAAGTGATATCAACTCATTAAATGAGGTCATTTTTCCTAAAATGATTATTAGGAAAATATTTCGTAATTTAAGCTTTACAGAATGAGAGAATGATTATATACTGTCAGCGTTGACCCTTATGAAAAACTTTCACTGAAAGAAAAGAAGTCACAACATGACATTCATTTTAAAAGGATACATGTCTCCTCGTACACCTGAATGGTGGCCAGATCACCTTCCAAACGAATAATTTCTCCAACCAATTCATCGTGTCCAACACGAACTAATTCGTACATAGCAGAACCAGCCATGGATGAAGCAGTGACAACTGTGAAAAACAAAATACATACTATGATGAGTATAAAGGTATCAGACGGTAAACAAGTATGACAAAAATATTGTAAAATATAGTTAGCATAACCATTGATATTCTTCTATATCTTCATTTGCTTTAATCGAATTCCATATTATAATGACTGTTGTTTCTGCGCTTAAGGAAAGTATTCCAAACTAACTAGAGACTGTTTTATGACAGATTTTACAGTATGTCTATCTAATTGTCTTCCGACGTTGAGGAAAGCATTTTACAACAAACGTTTATGATGACTACACAAACGCAACCAACTGTTTCTTTCAAACTGGTAATCATCAGTATGACCATTTCGTTATATCAATGACTGCAATCAGATATAGTACTTTCATCTAGACTCTGTGAGAAGCCAAAATATATGTTTAACGGAATCATCTGAAAAATCTGTGCGAGGCTCAAAGGTATGACAGTCGGACAGAAAAAACCATGGAGGAAATGTAGAGTAAAATTTGGTCACAACACATTGTTATTTTAGTAGAAAACTGAAAGGTGCACTTGTCCAAGCTTTATAACTAGCGCAACTTGGTGGCTTAGTAGGGTTAAATTTCGAGACATATTCATTGGGAAAGAAACCTCTTGTTTATCTACAGGTCATTATTGGCAAGAGCAAGGGGTATCTCCGTTTCATTAGCCATAGTCTACAGTGTATAGCAAAAGAAATTCAATGAAAACCGAAAGACGAGGTATAAATAAATTATGAAAACTAGCTTACACACCTGGACCTGATACAGCGTAAACATATCCGTAGTCACCTTCACGACTGCCATTTTCTAATCTAAGCTCCCGCATAGACTGTTCCATGTTACCTGTAATCAAAAATATAAATATTCGATACAACACAACAATATGATCTAAAATACAGATTTTGAGAAGAATATGTGAAGATGGGTTGATGAATAAATCTAGACGCCAGGTACAAAAACACTAGTAATAAACGGTATATGTCTCTGTAGTGAATAGATTTTAGCTGAAATAATACACAGTAGCATAAATTAGGAAAAGCCATACAGTTAACCTGTGATGGTTAAATTAAACTCCTGTGAGAAGCATGGCAAACTGGCAAGTCAATTACGAAACCTTCAAAATAGAATCTCGTACCATATAAGTAAGTGAAATTGTAAGCAGAGTATTATGAATGGTTGTACTTCTGTTATTAATTTAATGAACAAGTCAGATTTAATTAGAAATGTCAGACGTTTGGTCTGAATAAGAATAAACACAACAATTGGAGTTGAAAACAAACATTACGATTTTGTCCTGTCCGTCCATTTTTCAAGTATGACGAGTAAGGAATGTCCGAGTTACATTGAATACATTTCAATGGTATTGATGTCCAACTCTGATTCTCGATCAATGTTACAAAAACTCAGATAACCACTTAGTAGAGCGCTAAATCTAATGAAAAATGATATATATACATTTACTACCACTTTTGAAAATGTATTCAGTTTTTACAGATTCCTGGGTTTGGTGACATGAATTGGTTTTGACATATCGGAAACAATCTATGATATTTCTAATTGCATAAACTCATCATACAGGAACATATTTAGTAAAGGGCTCGTGTCGTCAAATACTAAATTACAACTTAATGTCTAACCGGAATGTAGGGTCAATAAATGTAAAAACCATGCTCCGGTCTGATTTGCAGCAACTAATGAAATTTATTTCTATCGTTAATTCTTTGAATGGGGACGCTTGTTATTCTGCGAATAAAACCCAATTCTTCGGTCACGAAACCGGAATATTTTTGACGGGGAAAGCGTGATGCAGTACACATAATACAATAAACAAGAGAGTCAACTGAGATTGTATATTTTTCACACGTCATGGGTTGACACTGATGTGACGGACCAAAGTGAGATTATAATTAACGGGCAATGTTTGGACGATGCCAAATTAACTTTGTGAACATGAATTTACTTGGCAGGGTTTATAAGAATTATAAATTAGTGTGAGGGATAAAAATTATGGATTAAAGTTGGATTTCAGAGTTAGGTATTAGAATTGGACGTTGTCGTCGTTGATATCAGTTATAGTGACGAAGTGCTATTAGCTTATGAGGTAAAATTATGTTTCGCACTGGGTGATAAAGAAATATTACTTGTCCATCACATTAAAAATAAACGGAAGAAAAAATTACAGCAGCTGAAGGCTAAAAAACTGACTAATACACCGTTTTATAATAAAAGAGCTTGAAACAAAACGACACTATTAACTTAAGAATGCACATAAAACACCGACGAATGACTCACAAAAACCACACTCGATAGTCGCGCGTTGTGTCGACCACCAAAATTTACCATACAAAAAGTCAAATAGGTTCAAGCTTCTGAAAATTATTATATCCAAATGCATAGATAATAAAAGATGTCCAATTTATTTCAATTTTGTAATACAATTAGTTTTACCCCTTTTGTAAAATACCTTCGGGTTACAAAAAACGGATAAAATGAACTTATAGAAATTATGGCAAGTAGGGTGACACATGTATAACTCAGTCAAATCGATTCATAAGTTTGACTTTCAAATGCGAGTACGGTTTGCTCTACTGTTGATTATAAATGGTCAGTGAACAGAAACATCCTGTTCCAGTTGAAGAGATAGGACGGGATACCTTATAATTCCTGGGTTTCGAATTTCCACAAAGAATGTTTTTCATTACTGTAAATTTAGGTCGGTTAAAATTAAAAATTAGATGCTTTTTTCTATCACAATTCATTGCTAGCTTTAAAAGTCAGTGAAAAGGCTATCAACCTCAGTATATATATCGATACTCGTATGATTTGGCTTAACAGGTGAGTAGAATATTTGAAGCTCTGGATCTCGTTCCAATTTTACAAACAGTTGAATATCCTGTGAAATAAGTGTTTCATCTAATCTTCATATATCATTCTCAAGAGAACCTTATTATGCGATGGTGTTTATAAGCAGCCGAGTATGGATTCACTTAGTTAATTTCATATCATGCAGTGGTACACGAATACAGACATGATGATAAAAAGCGGGAGAGCGAAGCAAAGCGAAGCGGACAAGGTGTGTTGACCAACTGGTCAGCCTGAAGTGAGTGTTCCTAATCAGAAGAGATAATTTAGATTTGTGATGAGAAAAGCAAGCATTAACCATGGTTAAAAGAGAATAATGGAAAACGTCGAAGAATGTCTAAACGATTCGAGAAAACTGTACATAAAGACGGGAACTAGCAATCTTAAACGGAAAAAACACAAAATTTGCTCTACCAAACCCGTTTTTAGGAGACTGAAAAGCTGACTTTCACGACGGACAAGTCAGTAAAGACCATTACGTGATTTTTATGTATAACCCAATAAATGAAGACATACATACCATTGAAATCCTTCATTCTTGTCTTCCAGTTTGAATAATTTAAAGATCCTCCCTAATAAAGGCGATACGGACAAAATCGTTTTCAATCCCGACATATTCGCCATATCTTTAAACCGACCACCAATACTTGAGGTCTTGAATAAATATCGTGAACGGAACTGCAGCACTGACATCGTCGGTTTAACGTGTTTACTCTACGGTTCGGCTGCCAGGCTTTCATACATGAATCTGGGTTGCGTTCAGTCATATTAAGTACCTTAACTGCTACTTACTTTCATTGTTCTTTCTACGAAATAGTGTAGAGAATAACACTAGGGGTAGTGCTGAGACTGAACATCGTTTTTATTTCTTGAAATTCGTCCTCAGCTCTTGTTTTTAGATATAACAGATGACCCAGTGGAGCATATCGTTGTTGTCGTCTAATTTATCGTCTGTGTAGTTGTTTGTTAACTTTTTATCTTAAATGTCAGTATAGAAGCTGAGGACGGTGTTAGATCTTAGCCGTAAGAATAATAATTGTGACGGTCATTGCACCAGTTATTGGATAGCTTCAATTCTAATTCCTGATTAATTGCCACTTCTCTAGGTGAGCACTTATGATTATTCCCTCCTGTGTATTCAGCATGAAGCTCAACTTCTGCATCATTAGTACTTGAAACTACCAGATTTAGTGACCCCGATTAGCTTAGTTTTATTTTCAGTCCAGAGATGTAAGTCTATGGTCCCTAATTCAGTTGGTAATAGAGATGAAAACAGTGGCGTATTTGTTGGTCTGTGCTATAAATATGACATACTAAAATTAGTTCAAAAGCTTGATCGGACAGATCACGTTTTTGCATTATCTCGCAGTGATCTATCAAACTCAGCAAGTCATATCACAGTATTGGATATATCACTGTCTAATGGAAGGTTTTTTCATGAGTAATTCTTTCGTCATTCTCCCGGCATTGCAATAGGAATGAAATTGGTTATGAATTTTCAGAAACGTCTGAAACTTTTTGCAAGGTAAGATAGTTTCCTAAGTGAGTTAAAAATAGCTAGCAATTCACTAACTGAAAAGAGTCTAGAATATTGAAATATAATGATCAAACGTACCGACTGAAAGGAACAAGCGAGCATTCCAAATGATCGGCATAGATATAGAGGTACCTCGGTATATTTAAATAGGTTTCAAGTACATAATACCGTGTATTTTCTAGAGGCCCTCGCTTGGCATCTTTCCGTTCGATGAAGCGTAAGAGGATAAAATTCAGTGCTGAAATGGAAAAAAGTGACGTTAACCTGAGACTTTCTGATTTGGAAAAGCAACTTCAAGAGAAAGTTAAAATTGTACAGTAAGGTGATTACTTTAAAACGCCTCTTAAAAATACACGATAAAGTTGCTTAGAAGAGTCTACTGAGGCGATTTTTCTAGTGTCGACTGGCTAGCCAAATGGCAAACTCTTTCTATAATCGTCATAAATCGCACGCAAAAGAAGGTAATGCAGGTGACAGCTTTGAAATACTCATTGCAATCAGTTGGCATGTTCTACAAATTTACTGCGCCGCAAGTACAAAAATGCATAGACACCTGCATTCGTTAGCAAAACCGGTTTACCTTTCCGCCCTACTTAGTACATGAAGAAAAAGAAGTAATTATTGTCTACCGAATATTTTGTTAAAAAATTACTAGTTGATGAAATACATTGTTACATTTTATTTTCAAATATCCCGACCGTAGCTGCTACCTTGACGTGGTGGTCGGGATTGCCTATCGTCATGACCCAACCGAGCCATACTGGCTGGAACATATGTTCCTGAAGGTTCTACCATGCCAGTCAGGTCGATTGGAGAGCGATCAGACTAAAAGCAGCTCAAGGTCTGAGGGCGAAGTCGTACTGCTGACTGACTGCAGAGGGGTGTGACAGCAGAAAGGTGTTTCCCTCGGACAACCAGCATCTGCAGCGATGCTGCCTTCTCACCCGGAAGGAAGGATTAGAAAAGGTTGACCCTAAAAATGTCACACCTCACCCTACCTCACGGATTTCCGTCTCCGTCAGTATGAGTGCCCACTAAGAGCTTTCAAGAGCGGAGCTAATATTCAAAAGGCCGTGCGTGAACGGCCCCAAGCAGTTGTCCGTTGGACTCTGCGGTCACGCACCCAGGTCTCTAAGACCAACACTAATCTATCTTCCTTTTCAGTTTCCTTTTCAGAAACAACCTTCCACGGTGTAGGCAGTCGGGAAGCGACAACGGCAACAGCACGAGAGACCGAATTGGTGAAAATCAAATCCTTCCCACACCTCCTAGTACCTCTCTTTTCTCCACGAATAAATTATTATTATTATTATTATTATGATTTAACTCTTCTCACATTCCTTTATCACAGTGCACAGCTAATGCAAACAATACGAGATAACGAAACGTCATTTCTGGTCTCCTGAAACCCCGTTTTAGACTACATGTTGGAGCATTTATTGTACGTACACTAAGTCAAATAGGGCAACTGGTTTCGTTAGCTAGAATATTCGAATCTCGCTCAATCGATGTATGCTGCGTCTCGGATACGCGCATACAGGATTCTAGTAAAATTCATTAATCTGATTTCAACTTTTCAAAATAAAGAAGCAGCTCGATTTACTCTTCGTGTATCTGGAAGCCCTGATACTGCTTCCAGGGGTATCGCTATTTAGGTATAGCATTGAGTCGTAGGGCAGAAGTAGCGCTCCCAGACTGGATCCCTGTAGATGGTCGTTTGTGAGCCGTCCGACTGAACTGGACAGTAAGGACTCGGAAAATAGGGACACTCGTCGACGCCTCTTCGTCGTATATGCACATGCCCCCACTGACTGCAGTTCAGACGAGGTGAAAGACGTGTTCTACAGAAAGCTCCCAGACCTCCTCCAAAAAGTTAGTCGCTGTAATGTAATAATAATGCCTGGTGGCTTGAATGCTCAGGTAGGTAGACTAAGTGAAAATGAAAGACCTAGGCGGATGTTATGGTCTCGCAGCTCAGAGAACAGACAATGGCGACCGTCTGTTGTAAGTATGCTCAGGTAACGGCCTATTCTTAGCAAACACTAACATTAGGCATAAAGAAAGGCATCTCTTGACCTGAAGACCCTCGAAGTCGTCTCAACGTTGGACCCAACTAGATCACGTCGCCATCAGCCACCGATGGAGGGGTTCGATAGAAGACTGCCGCTCGTTCTGGGGCACATTTTTAGATTCAGATCATGCCCTAGTGCGAGCTTGTATTTGTTTGATGCTTACTGAACGTGGGAAAGACACCGTAAGAAAGCCTCTTAGGGCTTTACTTGATGATAATCAAGCTAAGAAAATATTTCAGGAGGAACTAGAAAAACAGTTAGGCGGCCATGCAAGTGATTCCCATCCTGAAGCAGGTTGGAATCATATCAGAAAGGCTGTGGAAACAGCAATGGTATCTGCTAGCAAGGTAAACCACAAGGCTAGGATGAAGCCGTGGATATCAGTCGCATCCACCGAACTGATGGATGCTCGAAAACGCATCCCACCTGACTCTGAAAATGATGAAGAGCGTAGTCAGCTTAGGCGCAGACTTATAAAAAGCCTACGTAACGACCGTGAACAGTGGTGGGTGGCGAAAGCAAAAGCGATGGAAAAGGCAGCGGCGATCGGAAACAGTAGACAACTTTTCCGACTTATCAAGGAAACTGGTATTAGGAATCCAAGTGTAAGAGAGACTATCTCGGAAAAGGATGGGACTATTATTAATTCTCAATCCAGGAGACTGGATCGATGGGCAGAACACTTTAGGGATCAGTTCAACTGGCCTTTCGCCACGTTTCGGCTGCCTACGATCTCCAGTCATCCTGAATGGCAAATCGACTTAAGCCCCTCTAGTCTTTACGAAGTTGAGAAAGCGTCAGGAAATCTGAGCTGCAGGTCCTGATAGACTGACCCCTGAGATATTTAAGGATGGTGGTCCAGTTCTAGCAGGTAGGTTGACTAATCTCTTAGGTAGAATCTGGGAACTGGACATAATTTCATCC